GATGCATTACTGTATTTTAATATTTTTGGAAGCCGCCCAGAGTGGCTGGGGAAGCCCAGCCAGATGGGTGGGGTATAAATAATAAATTATTATTATTATTATTATTATTAGCCAGGGGTTCTGTGTGTTCAGCCTTGGGCCTCCTGTGTTCAAAGCACTTGAGTTATGTCTCCGCACAATGCCACTGAATTCTTTTTATGATGGACATAGGAAGCCCCAGGTTAGGCTAGGCTGCCTTGGAGCGCCACCCTAAACCATGGCAGAGAGAAGTGAATCAGCCTATTCCCCTCCTCCTGAGTTAACTGTGATTCGTCATGCGGCCCAGATTGACAGACTGCCCTTAATTGCGGTTAGCTTAAAGCAGGCCAGTGCCATTTCACAGTTTCTGAAGCCTGTTAACTAACCACAGTTAGATGGCCATTGCTCTGGGTTTCGATAGCACAGGAAACTGTGGTTTGCCAAAAGCGAAACGAAAGATTCTGAACTCCCCCATGGCTTGCTAAACTGGTTTATTTAGCACGTTGCCTGTTCATGCCCACTTTATCTGCTCTGAGTGTTAGTGGCTCTCCTTGGTCTTAAGTGAAGTGAGATTTTAACTGGAGGTGCTAGGACTGAACCCGGGGCCATCAGCATGCCAGACACCTGCTCTGCCCACTGAGCTAGAGTCCCTTGCCGTATGGAGTGTGTGATCTATGTCGGTTGCAAAATGACACTTGACTTGGCCAGGATCTGGGCTGCTTAAGTGCAGCACTCCCTTCATCAAGGCAATTATTAAGCAGACCTAAGTGTTATCGCAGCAAAGCATTTATTGGGAAGGCCTGTGAAGTACATCTTATTATTATTATTATTATTATTATTAGTATTAAACTGCTTTTAGACTTCAGCCACTTTCTCAGCCTGGGCGGAGGCGTTTCTGCAGAAGCAAATCTGCTTTCCAACGAGTCGCCCAGATTACTCTCCCCCCCCCGCCCCCCCTTCTGGGCTCTTTTCAGGCACCGAATCTCATTTACTGATGCGCGGCGTTGCTAACACATTAAGGCCTCGCCTCGATCAAAGAAACTGCGAAGGCAGCCAGGCTGGTGCAGCTTAACAGCTGCCGACGTGCAGCTGGAAATGTTTTGGGACATTTGCAGAGCGGTTTTCGTCCGCCTCATCTTTGCTTGTTCATACTTGGAGCAGGAAACTGTGTGAATCTTGTATCATGAGAGAGAGAGAGAGAGATTTTTGCTCCTGGTCTGGCTCTTGCCACATCCGGCTCAGAGCAGAGAGGTGCTTTTGTGTCTTGAGGGCAGCAACCTTTGGGGTTGGGAGACATGATGCTGTTGGGTGGAGTGGACTCATCTTACATGAGGACGTGGCTATTGGACTGGAAAGGGTTTCGCCAATCCTGATTAGGACCCACGTACCTACGGGACCGCCTCTCCTGGTATGCCCCGCGGAGGACCTTAAGGTCCGCAAATGACAACATTCTGTAGGTCCCAAGTCACAAGGTGGTTAGATTGGTCTCAACGGGGCCAGGGCCTTTTCAGTATTGGCCCCGACTTGGTGGAACGCTCTGTCACAAGAGACCGGGGCCCTGCGGGACTTGACTTGCAGGGCCTGCAAGACAGAGCTGTTCCACCTGGCCTTTGGTTTGGACTCAGTCTGACCCTTATTTTTCTCTCCCCTTATGGTTTTGATCTATGGGCTTCTATTAAAATGAGGCTGCCTTTTAAATTGCATTTTAACCTGTATTTTAAATTGGCCCCCCCTTATGTTTTTATTGTAAATTTACTGGTGTTAGCCGTCCTGAGCCCGGCTCAGGCCAGGGAGGGCAGGATATAAATATATTATTATTATTATTAGTAGTAGTAGTAGTAGTAGTACATGCTTTGAGTGGCTCGTTAGGAAATGGAGGACCCAGCCGCCCTGGTCCCAGCCACAGAACCATAAAATAGTTGGAAGGGACCACCAGTGGACATCTAGTCCAACCCCCTGCAATCCAGGAATCACAGCCAAAGAACCCTGAACAGATGCCCAGCCAACCACTCCAATGAAGGACAGTTTGTTACCTTCCACTCACCCACGGGCAGTCGGTCTCATTAATGTCAATCTGCTCTTGCCGTCAGAAAGTTCTTCCTACCGTTTAGTCTGAATCTCCTTTCGTGTACAGTGGTACCCTGGTTTTCAAACTTGATTCGTCCCGGTAGTCCATTCCAAAACCAAAGCATTCCAAAACCAAGGTGCGCTTTCCCATAGAAAGTCATGCAAAATGGATTAATCCGTTCCAGACTTTTAAAAACAACCCCTAAAACAGCAATTTAACATGGGTTTTACTATCTAACAAGACCATTGATCCATAAAATGAAAGCAATAATCAAATGTTCTGTGCTATAAAAATAAGACAGTATTGTAGATAATTAAACTTAATTAAACTTAATTTTTTTCTTACCTGCGCTGATTATAGTCATTGTTTGGATGGGGGGCTTTTATCCATTTCCGCAGTCACACAATCAATCAATTGATCATAAAACGAAAAACAAGCCATAGACACAAAAATGAAAAAGCCACACAAACAAAAACGCAAGAAATAGCAAAAACAAACGCACTGAATATCACCTCAGAACATTGCAATCAGAAGTGGAAGGCTTTAATTATGAGGGGGGGGACGGACTAAAATTTGCTGCTTAAGGGTAAAACGGGAGCAAATAAGCCTTAATTAGGGTTGGGGGAGGGATGACTTAAATTTGCCGCCTAAGGGTAGAAACGGGAGCAAATAAGCCTTAATTACTATGCGGGGGACTCAAATTTCCTGCGCAACAGGAAAAATGGAAGCTCAGGAGCATGTTCAGCTTCCGGGACAAAGTTTGAAAACCGGGACACCTACTTCCGGGTTTGCAGTGTTTGGGTTCTGGGTTATTAGGGAACTAAGCTGTTCGAAATCCGAGGCACCACTGTAATTTGAATCCATTGATTTGGGTCCTCTGGAGCAGCAGAAAGCCAGCTTGCTCCATCTTCCATGGATCCAGCCCTTCAGATACAGTATTTGAAGATGCCTGTCCTATTTCCTCTCAGTCTCCACTTTTCCAAGCTAAACACTCCCAACTCCCTCATCCCTTCCTCAAAAGCCTTGGTTTCCGGACTTTTTATGCAGGAACCAGCTTTCAGCGGCCTTAACCAGGCCTGCGTCTGATTCACATCCTATGTCTGGATAGCTCAGTTGGTTAGAGCATGGCACTGATAACGCCAAGGTTGCAGGTTTGATCCCTGTAAGGGACAGCTGCATAATTCTGCAGAGTAGGGGGTTGGACTAGATGATCCTCAGCGTCCCCCCTTGGGGGTTCCTGGCTGAAGATGCCCGTTCTTTGCCAGTTTGGTGCCCTCCACATATTTAGGGCTACAGCTCCCATTGGCACTACAGTGGACCCTCTAGTTACGTACCACTCTGGATACGTAACTTTCGGTTTATGAACGCTGCAAACCGCGCACGCATTCGCAGAAGCGATCTGAGCACCGTGCGCAGAAACGCTCAATCGCGCTGCGCTTGTGCGCAGAAGCGGCGCCTCTGCCGATGGACTTTTCGGGTTGTGGACGGATCCCCGGAACGAATTTAATTCGTATCCGGAGGCTCCACTGTACTTTGTGTTCTCATCGCCTGCCGTTCCGTTTTTTTTTTTTAAAAAGGACCGTGTGAGTCTTTCCGCAGCCCAAGACGTCTTCATCCCCTTTCTCGCTGCCTCAAATCATTTGCCCTGGGAAGCCAAGCTCTGCGCTCGAAGCAATTATATAAATTATGCCTAATTTCTGCCTTTCGGATGTAATTGCGCGATTACGCCTAATGTGCCGTGCATCCAGCTCTCTCCACCTGCCATAACCGGGTGATGTGTTTCCGCTCAGAGGCAAGCAGGGAGGGCTGCCGGCCTTACACCCTCCCAGGCTGGCTCTCTCACTGACCCTGTTTCCAGTCCGCCTGTTTCATCAGGGGCCTCAAATCTGGGCGTAAACTTCTTGCCAATGGCCTTCAGCAAAAGGCCGTCCCGTATAACGCAACCCGCACGCCCCGGTTTAATCCCGGTTCACCGTTTCCCCTGAAAATCCAATCAGGAAGAAAAGCCAGTGGGAAGGGTAAAATCCAGATTTGTACGAGACGACGGTGTTTTGTTGATGGTGGTGTTTTGCGGGGGTGCCACAGAAAACATTGGTGTGCATGAGTCGCAGAGGGTTCACAGCCAACTGCTGTGTGGGCGTCCCTGAAAACATTGTGCGTCAGGATGAATTGTTGCTGAGTTCTTCAGGGCCGTTAAAACAAAAAGAGATTGTGGAGAGCTCCAGAAGGGCCTCTCCAAACGGAACGAATGGGTGGAAAAGCAGGAAATGCAGTTTCATGTCAATAAGGGCACAGCGATGCAGGGTAATTAATCTTAATTTTGCATATTCGCCCATGGGGTCTGAACTGGAGGTGATGGACCAGGAACGAGACCTTGGGGGCCCCAGTGGATAGCTCGATGAAGATGTAGACCCACTGGGGGGGGGGCTGTGAAGAAGGCAGACTCCACTCTAGGGATTACAGTGGTACCTCAGGTTACAGATGCTTCAGGTTACAGGCTCTGCTAACTCATAAATATTACCTCGGGTTAAGAACTTTGCTTCAGGGTGAGAACAGAAATCGTACGGTGGTGGCATGGCAGCGGCGGGAGGCCCCATTAGCTAAGGTGGTACCTCAGGTTAAGAACAGTTTCAGGTCAAGAACGGACCTCCAGAACTAATTAAGTACTTAACCCGAGGTACCACTGTATAAGGAAAGGAATTTGAAGTACAACTTGACAATATTATAATGGCATTAGACACCCCCTGATTTGTGTGGGGGTTGCATTCTGGGTCATCTTGTGGAGCGCCCCCCCCTTCCTGTCACTTCTGAGTTTGCGGCAATGCACTTGTGCAATTATTATTATTATTATTATTATTATTATTATTATTATTACAGTGGTACCTTGGTTCCCTTGCCCCTTCTCCTTCTCCAGGTTGGGTTCTTGAAGATCCTGCACAAGTACGAGATCACCTTCCACCTGCCCTTTGTGCAGCGGCTGGGGCAGGATGTCTGTGCTGCTCAGCTGGCCAACCTGAATCTCCGCGTGACCAGCATAGCGCCTGCAAGGGAAGGTAAGGTCTTTCTGCCTTGCATCACCTTCCGCACTGTGAGATGATGGGTGTATCTGAAGGGGATACTTTCCTGTGGTTTTGAGATTCTCTGTTTCTTAAAATGCTCTTCCTTATGTCCTGAAAACCCTGTTTTGTTTTATTTTATTTTCAAAAAAATAATAATCATTTTATAACACCAATAAACAACACAAACAGAAAAACAAACAACACAAACAGATTCTTGTATTATCCTTATTTTTTTCTAAACCTTGTTAGGTGAGCTTCCCCAAGTCCCCCCATCTGATTTTCATTTTGCCTCATCTTTAGCAGTTTACCGTATTTTTCGCTCTATAACACGCACCTGACCATAACACGCACATCGTTTTTAGAGGAGGAAAACAAGGGGAAAACATTCTGAATGAAACAGTGGATGTATCATTTTTGTGCTTCATGCTGTGGCCACAGACATGTGATCTGATGGTGAATTTGGGGTGACCCAATGCAAAAATCCTGAGAATCCCTGTGGATTCATGCTTTGTAACCACGTTTTTGCACCATTGCAGCCCCAGGCAACAGTGGGTGCGTGATTTTTGGGGGCAGGCTGTAGCCATGGACATGCTATGTGCTCTGATGGTGAATTTGGGGTGACCCAATGCAAAGATCCTGAGGATCCATGTGGATCCATGCTTTGTAACCACATTTTAAGTGGGGAGGGAAGGAAAAACACAGAAGGGAAAAGGAGCACGAGAGGGGTGTGCAGAGAAGCAGCTGGCTAAGAATGCAGGAGAGGGGTATAACGGGAGGGAGAAAGGAAGGGAAAAGTTTTCCCCCACTCACCCACCCAAGCCAGCCGGCTCTCTCTCTCTCTCCCTCCTGCATGTTTTCACAGAGAGGAATTAGAATGAAGGACGCTCTCTTTCCCCTCTGCTTGCCTGGAGGGGAGGGGCTTTCCCTGCTCTTTGTTCCGTTTGAGCAAACACAGCAAGGAAACAGAGGAGGGTGGGCAGTAAGACCCTGAGGCAGAATGCAGGAAAGCAGCCGCTTCCTCTTTTCAGGCTTCCCTTCTCCGAGAGGCGCGATTTGATTTTTGCCTGATTTTTTTTGCCTCCACTTGCCCCAATCGGCTCCAGGGACCACACATTCGCTCAATAACACGCACAGACATTTCCCCTCCCTTTTTAGGAGGAAAAATCTGCGTGTTATAGAGGGAAAAATACGGTACATATATCATAATTTCTAACCATTTTTTTTATCGCACTTACTTTAACCATAAAAACCTTCACATTTTATCACTTACAAATAATACTATTTTAAAATACACTGTCTTCTACTTCTAACCCTACAGCCTAAATCCACTTCCAAAGCTATTCTAAGATTTAAATATTAACATATTTTTTCAAATATTCCTTAAACTTCTTCCAGTCTTCTTCCACCTGTTTTATTGATCCTCTTAAAAAACACACACACACACACACACACACACACCCAGTGTTTCCCCTCTTGGTTCTGACTTTGCCTCTGTACGAATCTGTGCTGCAATCGCGTTTGGAATATACAGTGGTACCTCGCAAGACGAATGCCTCGCAAGACGGAAAACTCGCAAGACGAAAGGGTTTTTGGTTTTTTGAGTTGCTTCGCAAGACGATTTTCCCTATGGGCTTGCTTCGCAAGACGGAACCGTCTTGCAAGTTTGTTTCCTTTTTCTTAACACCGTTAATACAGTTGCGACTTGACTTCGAGGAGCAACTCATAGCACGCGGTGTGGTAGCCTTTTTTGAAGACTTTGGTGATTTTTGAAGCTTTTCCAAAACTTTCCCGAAACCGTGCTTCGCAAGACGAAAAAAATCGCAAGACGAAAAAAAATCGCGGAACGAATTAATTTCATCTTGCGAGGCACCACTGTACAAGGTACAGTTCTGACTGACTTGCCTCAAACGGGATGTTGTGTAGCTCAAAAAGCCTCAGTGCAACCTGGGAAACAGCTACTAAAATGACCAAGGAGGTGGAGCGATTCCTCTCTGGGACTTCCTACTTTGCAGAAAAGGCAAGAGGCAACTGGAGAGCGGTTTGTAAGATTGAGCAGGGCACTGGGGATGAATTCATGGAGCCAAGCAGGTGGTGCCCTGAAAAGAATTGGGAGCCAGTGGTATCGGCAGTGCTGACCAATGGTCTGACTCGGACAGAGGGAACGCTGGGAATCACAAGTGGGGAGAGTGTTCTTGTTATTGGATTTTCCTTGCGGGCCTCCCCTAATGGGCTTCTGGTTGGCCACTCTATAAGAAGAGGATGTCCATATCTCATAGAACCTCAGAGTTGAAAGGGACCCCTGGGGTCATCTAGTCCAACCCCTGCAGTGCAGAAATCTCAGCTCAAGCATCCATGGCAGATGGCCATCCGTCCTCTGCTTAAAATCCTCCAAGCAAGGCGATCCCATCACCTTCTGAGGGAAACTGTTTCACTGTTGAAATTTCTTCCTGATGTTCTGTCGGAATCTCCTTTCTTGTACTGTGGTATCTCAGGTTGGGACGCGGGTGGCGCTGTGGGTAAAAGCCTCAGCGCCTAGGGCTTGCCGATCGTCAGGTCGGCGGTTCGAATCCCCGCGGCGGGGTGAGCTCCCACTGCTCGGTCCCAGCGCCTGCCAACCTAGCAGTTCGAAAGCACCCCCGGGTGCAAGTAGATAAATAGGGACCGCTTACCAGCGGGAAGGTAAACGGCGTTCCGTGTGCTGCGCTGGCTCGCCAGATGCAGCTTGTCACGCTGGCCACGTGACCCGGAAGTGTCTGTGGACAGCGCTGGCTCCCGGCCTATAGAGTGAGATGAGCGCACAACCCTAGAGTCTGTCAAGACTGACCCGTATGGGCAGGGGTACCTTTACCTTTACCTTTATCTCAGGTTACAGATGCTTCAGGTTACGGACTCCGCTAACCCAGAAATAGTGCCTCGGGTTAAGAACTTTGCTTCAGGATGAGAACAGAAATCGTGCTCCGGCGGCGGCAGCAGGAGGCCCCATTAGCTAAAGTGGTGCTTCAGGCTAAGAACAGTTTCAGGTTAAGAACAATACCCAAATATAGACAGTCATTTACCCTTGCTAGATTCAATGTGCTGCCATCTGCCTTATTGCAGGGCAGATTCGAGGGTAAACCGGACGTGGAACAAGTCTGCCCCTGCGGCTTGATGGTGGTAGAAACTGTCTCTCATGTCTTGTTAGGCTGCCGTTTCTACGGGGATATACACTCAGTATTTATCACTCCTGTTATACAAAAATCTCCAAATGGGTCCGAACTTCAATGTCTAAAATCCCTGGTAGAGGACAAGGATCTGGAGATCACGCTAAGGGTGGCCAAATTCTGTGCGACTGCCATAAAACTTAGGGAACAAGCTGTACTACCAAAATGATTAAGGTTTTAAATGACAATTTTAGGTTATCTTTTAGTGATTTAATATATATATTTTTTAAACTGCCACTATATCTGAATTGTCTCTGTTATACCCAATTGCAATTCAATGTATTCCTGTTGTGTTTTATGATTTTCCTGATATTGTAAGTGACCCGGAACTGGTCTGTGACCGTAATAATAAAATTCATTCATTCAGGTTAAGAACGGACCTCCAGAACGAATTAAGTTCTTAACCCGAGGTACCACTGTAACTTGAATTGACTGGTTCCTACCCCCCCCCACACTCCATCTTCCCTTGAGATACTTGAAGATGGTTCTTCTATCTCCTCTCAGCCTCCTCTTTTCCAGGCAAAACACACCCAGCTCCTTCAAGCGCTCCTCATAAGGCTGGGTTTCCAGACCAAGGCAACCTGGCTATAAGGCAACTTCCTAAGGGGCCTGACTCTGCTTACAACAGGTTTTGGGGCCTTTCAGCTTGGTTTGCAACCTCCCGCATTGCAAACACTGTTTTCCCCGGGACATTATGTCCTACGGGTTGCTCTCGGACGCCTCTTTCCTGGGGAGGAACAACACAAGATTCGCTTTCTTTGGCATTTTGCAAGAGAGACGCTGCTGGGTGTCTTACTGCTCCTCAGTGAGAAGTTGTCTTGCTCTGTTGAAGCCTACGATTTTGGGCGTGCTGTGCCCGCAGGAGACCAGATGCGGGAAACATGCAGCCTCTGAGAAAGCTGTGTAGGGTGGAGAAACCTGATGATGGATGTGAGCGATCAGGTGCCCGCTTGTTTTCTCCAGCCGGGTGGAATGCGAGGGAGGTTTGATCTGGGAAGCGCAGGCTGGACTGCAGAATCAGGCTGGGAAGAAAGAGCCTTGTCTTCCTGTTTGGGATTATCTCTCGCTTGAAGCAGGGTGTAGGTTGGGGTTTGTGGGGGTGGCAGGTGTGCGTCTCCACCCCCATCGTTCAGCCTGGACACTGAGGTCCAGCTCCGAGGGCCTTCTCTATGCGGGGCTGCCTTTGAAGCTGTCCCAAAAACTCCAGCGGGTGCAGAATGCTGCAGCAAGGCTCCTCACAGGGTCCTCACGGAGTTTTTCCAGCTGCACTGCCTCCCGGTGGAGTCCAGGGTCAGGTTTAAGGTGCTGGTTTTGACCTTTAAAGCCCTTCACTGCCTAGGATCCTCGTACCTACGGGACCGCCTCTCCCGGTATGCCCCACGGGGGACCTTAAGGTCCATAAATAGCAACACCCTAGAGGTCCCGGGCCCTAAGGAAGTCAGATTAGCCTCAACCAGAGACAGGGCCTTCTTAACACTGGCCTGGTGGAATGCTCTGCCTCATGAGACCAGGGCCCTGCAGGATCTGATTTATTTCCGCAGGGCCTGCAAGACAGAGTTGTTCCACCTGGCCTTTGGCTTGGAATCCACTTGATCCCCTTCCCCTCTTTTTCCTTTCTCCTTCTGTGATGGAACCCCTATTTGGGGACTTCCCTGGCTTTTCTGTCTTACAGGCCCTGCGGAAAGAAATCAGATCCTGCAGGGCCCTGGTCTCATGAGACAGCGCCCCAGAGGTGCACTCCATTGTTTCTCGCTCGAGAGATGGATGCCATCAATGAGACACAACCCAGCAAGG